GGCTTCTTGATTTAGGATCACAGATCATTTTTCCTCATGTTCAACATTTAGAAGAAGGAAATCCTAACGCAGAACACTACGTTTGCTAGCCTCTGACATCATCTCCCACTCCCTCCCCCTGCTCATTCAGCCTCACCCGCACAAGCTCGCAGTCCCCACTCAACGTTCTTTCATGTCTGTACCCTTTGATGTCTTCACCCAATGTCCACCACTCTTCTTAAAGAAATACATCAGTTACTGGGAGGAAAGGCAGAGGTATTTAAGATGCCCAGACAACTACCAAGCTGTCACAGAGAAAAGCCATAAGCCAGAAAAAGACAGATAACAATGCAAGTGAGTATGAGAAGAACGAGATGGAAGACTTTCAGAAGAATGGGAGAAGTCCCCACTGACTGCCTTGCTCATGCGTTTGGAGGAGTGGATTTGGAAAAAGGGCCGGGGGCAGGGGGTGAGGGGTGGGGAGTGGGGGCGGGGCAGATGTCTGAAATGCTAGGGGAGTTAGAGAGCTGTTCTTCAGTTGCTGATTTTGGGGTGATGTGGGGTGAGTCACTGCTTCTGTGGTAAGTTGGAGTGGGAATCGTAAAGGCTGGAGCTAGCCAAAGGTGGCAACCGGTCAAGACCCAGATGCGCACAGAACTTTTTCCATTTTCCAGTGAAACTATTTGAGAGAGAAAGTGGCAAGAGTGGAGACTTCTCCTAGCAAATAGAACAGAGTCCCGGGTGCCCAGTTCTCATGTCCTTAGCTTGCCTCCTTTCCCATGCCAACCAAGGAAAAGGTGTATTCCCAAGGCTTAAGTCTATGTATGAGGGACTCTGAGTCCCCACATGTTGGAGCCCTTGATCCACATGTAATCGTTTTCCTTCGTTTCCTCCCTCCGTGTGTCTCTGTGACCTGTATTCCTACTAGACATTGACGAGTGTGAAAAAGACGCCTGTGGGAACGGAACCTGCCGAAACACAATCGGATCCTTCAACTGCCGCTGCAACCACGGTTTCATCCTGTCTCACAACAATGACTGCATAGGTGCGTGTTCCACCGGAACTGCAGAGAGCAGGGCTTCACCAAAGGAAGTCTGTTTTCGACCTGTCCTTCATAACCCTCTCCAGCGCATCCTCTGCTTTCTTTCGCACCTGCCAACATGCGCATAAAGATAGGCTAGAGGACTGGTCAGTTATCTGGTGCCAGTCCAAGGTCAAGCTTAGGACTTACACCCACTCCTTTTGTTGAAATGCTCCTGAACAGCTACAACTTTAATGTGTGGTCTGTGAGAAATTAAGTGCCTTTCAAAATAGACTGAATCATTTCAAAACCTGCCAAAGGGACTCCTTAGACCAGAATTAAATAATTCAGCACTAATGTGAGCCTCCTTGTCCAGCTTTTCCATAGTCCCCTCATCAGCGCTGAATCTACAAAGTCCCCCTTTTTAAATGCGTTATTATGATTTCTACTTGTGATCATTAACAAAACCCTCTGCTGTGCCAGAATATAATGTTACGTTCTTATTTTAAAACCACTGAACAAAGACCTCCACTGATTGTCTACTACTAATTGACTTCCGGTCTTTGAAAATGAAATCTAAAGGAAGATCTAGGCCAAACGGACCTAACATGCTAACAGCAATGATCATCCTCTAAGTCTTATAGTTACGTAACCGTGTGGTTAGCCAGGCCGGAGGTGTTCGCCTTCGGTATGAGACCAGAGAGATCACCATTGGCAGTAAAGCAAAGATGAGCAGATAAGGCGGCATGGCAACTAGAGAGCTGTGAATGGAAGCACCAGACCACAGAAGAATGCTGGCGCATACGCACCTGTAGCTGATGTCACTGGACACTTTGTGTTGCAATTAGCACTTGGGGACCTAACCCAATGCGCAACCTTTCATCAAAAGTGCCATGTTTTAAAAGCTATGCCTGTTGTTAGAAACTTGATCTTCATTGCATTTGCTTACGTTTAATGAGTCAACAAAGACCACCAAAATTCAGAATAAGTATTTTTCCCTTGAAAGGGCTTGGTTCTTGGGGGGGTCACGACATTTTCTTTACTGTATATTGAAGGGGGATTTTCTTGGCAGATGTGGATGAATGTGCTACCGGAAACGGGAACCTTTGCCGGAACGGCCAGTGCATCAACCTAGTGGGGACCTTCAGGTGTGAGTGCAACGAAGGCTACGAAGTGTCTCTAGACGGAAGGACCTGTGTGGGTGAGTGTCGCGCCCGGATCCTCGTCCCCACACACAAAGAACCAGCCGGTCTCCGCCCCGTCCTTCTTTCTTGAATCTAGGAGGAAAACATCCAAGTAGACTTCCGCTCATCTCACCCGTAAGGATGTTTAAATGATGTGTTA